AGCATGAGGATGCAGTTCACAAAGACACCGACAAAGCCAGCCTCCTGGCGCGACAATAACCTTCAGTGTATTCAACATCAGCGTCGTTCACTGACAGAACAGTGTGCACTCCCCCTTCTCTGTTAGAGCACGTCGATATAAACACTGACGTCGTACTGAAACTCCTTTGTGAGTTGGATCCTTACTCATCGCCTGGTCCTGACGACTTGCATCTTGTTCCTCAAGACTGTGGCTCAGTACATTGCTTCACCGATCACGCAGGTTTTCCGTCGATCGTTTCAGTCCGGACTTCTCCCGACCGCTTGGAAGATGGGCATCATCAAGCCCATATACAAAGGAGGGAACCGGCAAGACCCAGCTAGCTACCGGCCCATCTGCCTTACATCGATAGTGTGCAAAATCATGGAACGGGTCCTGAAACGGGCGCTTCGACTTCATCTCGAGCGGTTGGATCTGATATCCAGTGCCCAACATGGTTTTCGCAAAGCTCGCTCCTGCTCTACCAACTTGCTTATGGCTAGAGAAAAATGGGCAAATTCATTGGATGTTGGCAAACGCCTGGATGTTGTGTTCGTGGACTTCAGTAAAGCTTTTGATAAGGTCCCTCATGAACAGCTTCTCTACAAACTCCGAGGAATCGGTGTCTCTGGAAGCTTTCTCTCGTGGATTTCCGATTTTCTACACACTCGTTCCATGCTGGTGAGAGTGAACGAAACGTATTCCGATCCTGTTCATATGAGCAGCGGTGTTCCACAGGGCTCCGTCCTCGGCGCCGAACTCTTCAACATCTTCATCAACGATCTACCGTCGGAGCTACAATCGGATTGCTTGATTTATGTGGATGATCTAAAGATATGGAAGGAGGTATCCTCTCTAGAGGATGCTGATCGACTACAAGAGACGCTCGATCTCCTGCACACTTGGTCGATTCAGTGGCGCTTACCCATTAATCAAGACAAATGTTCCGTCCTGCCTATCGGCGCTCCTGAACCATTCGGCGCTTACCACATAGGTGGTTTCTTGCTCAAAAATGTCACTTCAGAGAGAGATCTGGGCGTGATTGTTTCCCCGGACTTAAGATCCACTCAGGACACCATGAAGAGGGTTGCCGCTGCCTACAGGATGTTTCATGCCATCCGAAGAGCTTTCTGTCGCTTGACACCGGAACTTTTTAGACTTCTGTTCACCTCGCATGTGCGCCCGATTTTGGAATACGGCCTCCCTGCTGCCTACCCGCTTTCCAAATTTGAGCGCGACATGATCGAAAAGGTCCAACGGCGTGGATCGAAGTTTGTCTCCGAGTTACGTGACCTGCCGTATCCCCTTCGGCTTCGGCATTTGAATATGTTTTCTATGGATTACCGCCGCCGGCGTGGGGACTTGATTTTTACCCGTCGTATCCTCAGGGGAGAACTAGGGAGAGAGTTGCAGGAATTCTTCCACCTCAACATCGGGAGTTCGACTAGAGGCCACCAATGGAAAATATTCAAGCCACGGAGGCTCAAAGTACGGTCCATTCTTGCTCTATCCACTCGCGTTGTGAATAACTGGAACCGGTTACCGCCGCCAGTCGTTGATGCACAGACAGAGGATTGCTTCAAACGACTACTTGATTCACACCTGTTGAATATGCCGGGATCGTGTTGCTTCAGCTACGAGTGCGATGGCCTCTCCGGAGTTCCCGTTGCGCAATGACGAGCATCCCAGCAATGATCGGGAAGCGATGGAGCTGACAAGGGATCTCCCCTTCTGCTCTCTACTACCACAATGAACCCCAAAGTAACACACTTCTACTGGTGTGCCATCAAGACATCGAGTTGGCTGCCTGGTAGTAGCAGACCTAGCAGGGTACTTTAGAAATGGCGACGTTTGCTGATTGGTTGGACTGGAGTGAAACAAGTGACCTCTAGACCCTGTCATTCTAGTCTGGTGTACCTTTAAAACAGCTTTAGTGTGCTAAAAACCTATCAGAATCAATTCAGAATCAGAATCAATTTATTAGGAGAATAAGATAGGAATCTATGTGATCTCCATCATAAGTAAAGCAAAAATGACCCATGCCGAATATGGGTCTGTGTGAATGCACATCAATAGTCGTTTAGTAATAAGCAAACAAAATACCGATATATAAGCACAAAGAAAGCACTACGTGTCTTGGTCTTTTAGGGTTGCTAGTGTAGCCGTGACATAACCACGCGACGAAAGGAGGTCAAACATGGCGTCTGCATCGAAACACAAGTCTGAAAAATGTTTGTCAATGCTTCGTTTGAAACACTGCACTGAATCAGAAAGAACAACGGAACTGGGCAACCAGTTCCAGAAATGTATCACACGTCGCGCGAAACAATGAATATGAGTGACATTGTCCATACGTGGAACTTCCAGCTTGTAAGAATGCCCTCGGGTGATAGGTGCATCCACAATACAGAACATATGTCTCAGGTGAGGAAAATGTCTCAGGTGAAGGATTCTAAACGTTGTAATGAGGTCAATTCGTAATCTCCTGTATACTAGTGTATGGAGACGTAACTTGTGGCACCTCTGGTGGTAAGATAAGCCTCGGAGCGTGGGGATCAGGCGGGTGACTAGGTGCTGGACTTTTTCCAGTTTTCTCATCTCACTTTTTGTACTTGGATAATAGGCCGGTGCCCCGTATTCTAAAAGCGGGCGCACCATGGAGACGTATAGCCTGACAGCAATTTCCTCCGACCAAACGTGGAAGGTCCGCTTTAATGACCAAAACATGCGAAGGCTGGAACAGTAGACCTTGTGCGTATTGTCTGACGATTTTAAGTCCCATCGGGATAGTACTCCTAGATCTCTAACCGTCGCAGCCGAGCACAGTAGACGTCCACCGACACTGTAAGTTCTGTCCCGACAGCACTTGCCAATGCGGAGCAATTCGGACTTTTCAGCATTCAGTGGAAGGCAGTTTGTTGATGCCCATGAGGAGATTGTATCGAGATCACTTTGCAGTATATCCTCATCGACGGGGGTCGATATTTCCCTCCAAACTTTCAAATCATCTGCGAACAGCGCGCAAGTAGATGTCAAACGTCCTGGTAAGTCGTTGATATGAAACAGAAAAAGCGTTGGGCCAAGTACTGTGCCCTGTGGCACACCACTAGAGGCAGTACACCATTTCGTTCGGTAGTCATTGACCTGGACGCACCACTGCCGCTTGTCCAGAAAAGACTGAATCCATTTCAGCAATTTTCCACCCACGCCATAACTGTTGAGTTTAGATAGCAAGATAAAGTGATTCACTCTATCAAATGCTTTGCTAAAGTCAATCAGCAAGGCATCAACGCTCCTACCGTCATTAACTGCTTCAATCCAACTGTGTCGGGAAGTCAGAAGATTCGTGGTACAAGACCGTCCTCTTAGGAAACCATGTTGAACTGATGTAAGCACACCGTGTGATTCTGTGAACTCAAGCAGCGCCTTCTTGACCACTTTCTCCAGCAATTTGGCCAGCACTGGTGTCAGGCAAATCGGTCTATAGTTCTCTACTCTGCTTCTGTTTCCTCCTTTCGGGAAGGGCCGTACGATCGCTTGCTTCCATTCACGTGGGACGTTCCCTTGTGTCAAAGAGGCCTCGAACAATTCCGTCACTGCAGGTGCGATAACAGGTGCCAGCCTTTTGAGAAGTAGTGGATGCAAGCCGTCAGGTCCTGGCGGTTTGGAGCAGTCTAGATTAGCAAGCAATCCCCTTACTTGGTCCTCTGAACAGGATACTGTATCCAGTTTGGCGTCGACTTGGGTACACTGAAATGCTGGAGAAGCTGAGTCGAACACTGACTCGAAATGTGAAGCAAGTGCGATAGCTCGGTCCTTGTCGGCGGTCAACAGTGCACCAAGCGAATTTTCCAAAGCAGGTAACTCGTCAGTTGGCTTAAGCTTGCGCTTGATGTATGCAAAAACCTTTTTGGGTGCCTCCTTCGCATTTGCTGATAAGCGTGTTTCATAAGCCGCACGCTTCTGTAGTTTCACTGAATTGCAACAGTTTCTTTGTGTTTTGTAAGCTGTGTAATCTTCGGCGCTATGAGTTTGTTTGAACCTCTTCCACAATTTTGCACGTCGCCTCGACATGACAACATATTCGCTATCCATCCATGGCGGCCTCTTCCAACATTTTATTGGTGTTAAAGGAGCAAATTGGTCTAGTAACTGAACAAGGTTTTGCTTCAGCACCTCCCAACACACTTCAACACCGTCATTCAAAGGTAATGACCAGTCCATGTGTTCCGCAGTACTCATCAACCGATCCCAGTTTGCTTTCCAAATGTTACGACGGGGTATTCGTAATGATACAACAGATGGCAAACGTAGGACGGCTGAAATCGTGGAGTGATCGCTGGACCCAATGGGTTCAAATACTTTAGCGGATTCGACATGTTGCTCATCGTTCGTGAAAAGGAGATCAAGACAGCTTTCAGGTTGCCCCGGAAGCTGCCTTGTTGGTTGCAGGATATGTTGCACAGCGTGCATCTCCGCCATTGTATCGACAAAAGCGCATTCGAGATTGCTACTGCCAGGTAGAGCTTTATAATGCGGCCAATCAACGTGTGGAAAGTTAAAATCACCAAGCAACAGAAAATTTCGGCAGTTCAAGCGCTGCTGCACTACGTCGATCCAATCACGGGAAGTGTTTGAAGGACTCCGATAAATGGCTCCCACTCTCAGTTCATTCGGCCCAACAGTAACTCTGCACCAAAGTTGTTCGCATAGGCCGTCGGCACTATAATGTGTAGATATGAGTCCCCCTCTCATGCTGGACTTTATATATAACAATACACCGCCATGAGCGCCCTTGGGTCGTTCGCACCGAAATGTCGTGTATCCATCGATGTGAATTTCAGGATCAGTAATATCACCGTGGAGCCATGTTTCAGTCAGACAAAATAAATCTGGGCAATGTTGCTCTACCCAGAGATGTACCTCATCAAATTTATTGGTGAGGCTGCGAACGTTCGTAAGCGCCACAGTGAGACCGGCAACTAGCTTGGGGCGCGCGCCATCAGCAACACCGGCTTGTTTATCAGCTGGCGCTTCTGCACTACTCGAAAATTTACGATATGTATGTTGCTCTCACCTTGTTGAGTTCGCCGTTTAAGTTCAATGGTAGCAGTTTGAAGGCGATTACGTTCTTCCAAAGTGAGGTCGGCACGCACGTGGATTTTCAGGCCGTTTAGACGCCAAAGTCGGGACAGAAGACGCGCTGGGGTGACGTCATTTTCAAAAACAATTCGCAACGGACGAGGCGTGTTTGCCGTTCGTTTTCCCACGCGTAATACTCGTTTTATATGAATACCTAGCTCATCGGGGTCCAGGAGTTTATCAACCAAATTTTGTAAGAACGCGACATCATGCTCATAACGAATTCGCGGGTCGGAACTCTCTGACTCCGGGGCATGAAAGATCATCAGACAATGGTTACGAGGATGGATCAGACCAGTTTCGGACAATACGGACGGCCGCGTAACGGTGCTCGGAGTCAAAACTGGAGGTCTCTTTCCCGCAACAATCCACGGTGACTCGTTTCTGGTTCCATGATCGGCGACTGTAGCAGGAGGTGGCTCATCAGAGATCCGTAGTGTTTGCTCCGGTTTACCAGTTGATAAAATCCCGCTGCATGGAGGAACTGTGGGCAACGTATTCAGGTTGTCGGGGGACAGGTGCGACACAGGTCTTCTACTTGGTTGGTCGTATTCTTTGGATGGTCGCCGGGGGATACCGCGCTGCACTTCCTGGCTCTTCTAGCAGTAGGAACGGATGAGCATCTCTCAAGATTCTGAAGCGGCGGTCGTCTTGCCAGTGCAGCTGCATCAATGCAATACCGACAGACCCATAACAGGCCTTTGTGTTCAGCGTAGATCTTAAAAAGCGAATCCGTAAGTTGCGAACAACGCTTGTGACCACAGGCCCAGGATTTACAAGCGATACACTGAATGCCCTGAGTAACCAGTTTTGAGCAGTGTAAACAGAGTGAGTTGGGCATGACGAAATCCGAAGCTTCAGTAACAAGGTGGCGTCAAACGTCCGGCGATGACCAGACGTCCGCTTTAATCGATCTAAGATATCTTGGATCAGAGGAAATTTGACAATAGACAAATTTCGTCTCAAGTGTTTATTCAAACACTGTTTTCCACGTTAATTCAACTAAAAATCTCGATCAGTATGACACGCCAAAAAGTCGAGTTACCGCGTAGCACCCAACCGCTTGCCGTCGATTCGAATGCACGTGAATACGGTTAACGAAATGTGCGTATTAAATAATTAACAACAAATATCAACTCCGATGTCCAATATCCACCGCGCGCACTATGCTAATCGTGACCTACACAAAAAAGGCAGGTTACAGTCAGGTCAGATGGACAAGTTCAAGTCAGTTGGAACCGGCCACGATAAGATAATCCTCGTGCACCTTCCTTCTGATCGAGTTCATCAAGTTGGCTCGGGATCTTGAAGTCGCTCTGTAACTGACGCTCGAAACCCTCTACCGTAGACTCCCTAACCACGTGCGCCGGAAGCGAGTTCCAACGACAAGTTCAAGTTCAAGTGGGACTGGAACGATAGGATGAAACCCGTAAGTGTTCCTTCTTGAGCGCGTCGTCGATCCAGGAGTTTGTAGGGGTGCTCCGACTTCTTGATGGGTCTAAAACGAAAACACCCGAAAAAACACCCTGGTCCACCAATTTAATGCCCACGTTCCTTACATTAGCTGTCCCAGCTATGTCAGTTACGTGAAGTAAGAGAGGAAGAAAAAGCGAAGGTAAGAGAGTAGGGGAAATCAGTTAAAAGAAGAGAATAATACCAATGGCAAGGAAAAGGAAAGAAAATAGAATCTAAGTAGGAAGATGGGAATTTGTCAGGAAAACGGAAAGGTTTCGTGTTGCCACCCAAGAGCATTTAGTTGACGCTCAAACCCCTTAACCGTAGCTTCCTTGACAACATTTTCTGGAAGCAGGTTCCAGCGCTCGATGACTCGACGCGATAAGCGTGTCTCCGCTCTAACTCGATCGGACCGCGGTTTGTCCAGCTTCATACAATGCCCGCGGAGACCAGATAATCTAGCAGGACTAAATAGCATGGACAAATCAGGGCCAACCTTCCCAGTCAAAATACGGTAGGTTAGGATTAGGTCCCCTCTAATTCTTCGATAGTGCATTGACTGCATGCCCAAACTAAGTAGGCGTTCGGGGTACGTTTGCCCTCGTAATCCCTTGACCAACCTAGTACCGACACGCAACACCCTTTCTAGTGCCATTTTGTCCCGGACAAGGCATGGTGGACAGGCCTGGACGCAATATTCTAGGTGGGGTCGCACAAACGCTGAGAAGAGCTTCACAAACACATCAGCGGTTAGGGTCCCAAAAGAACGACGGATAAACCACAACATCCGGAACCCTTTACTAGCCGCCTTCTTCCAGTTGTCTCCAGAGTGTAATGTGGAACAGTGGACGACACCTAGATCAACCTGATGAGTCACGTGAGGAAGTACAGTCCCATCGAGCACATAACTTGTGAAGGAATCAGACACTCCGATACGCAGCACTGAACACTTTGCCCGGTTTATAGGCAGCAACCACAAGACAGACCATTCTCAGAGTCTATCCAGAGCCCGTTGAAGAGCCATAGGACCTCCAGGGATATCAACAATATTCCAGAGCTTTAGGTCATCTGCAAATAAAAGCGATTGTACCTCAAGCTCCTCCGGCAAGTCATTCACGTAGACTGAGAACAGCAGCGGACCTAGGACAGAGCCTTGCGGAACGCCGCTAAGTACAGCCTGTCGAAACGAAAGACTGCTTCCCACACGAATACACTGTTCCCGTCCAGCCAGAAAAGCTGACACCCACTGGAGAGCGCGACCAGCTATTCCATACGACCTCAACTTCAGTGAGAGTCGCGAATGGGGGACAGTGTCAAAGGCCTTGGCGAAGTCAATGAACACCATATCCACCGCATGTCCACTATCTACGGCTTCAGCCCAGCACTCACGAGCTACCAGCAAGTTCGTCTGACACGAAAATCCTTTGCGAAAACCATGTTGCTCGACGCTAAGCAGGTTAAACCTATTTAAATGGTTCTCCACTGTATCTCGTACTAATTTTTCAAGTAACTTAACGACCACGCTAGTCAAGCTGACAGGCCTGTAATTAGCCGGTAGGTCTGTCACCGCACTTGAAAATCGGGCAGACAACAGCCTCCTTCCATTCGGTAGGCAAGATACAGCTGTTGAGTGACTTCTGAAATACACAAGTCAGAGGTCCACTGAGTTCCCCTGCCAATTCGTGCAACAATTTTGGATGAACAGAATCTGGCCCAGAAGCCTTAGTTGGGTTCACCTCTCTTAGCAACCGGAGAACTTGGGACTCAGTTACAGGAATTTCATCCAGACAACAGTCCTCAGGGACTCTTGGAGCTAACTCTTTACATGGCGTATTTGTCTCGCGGACAGAGACGCTTGAGTACTGCTTACCAAGCACGCATGCCTTGTCATAGTCGCTATAGGCATGGGTCCCATCTCCTCGAAGCAATGGTGGAATGGGCGAGTTTGCACCACAGCGTCGTTTAACGTAAGCGAAGAATCTCTTGGGATTTTTCGAAGCAGTATTAGCTAAGCCCTTTTCATACTGAAGCCGGGCCAACCTAAGATGTAGCTTGCACTCATTTCGAACCAACCGATACTTGTCAAACGTGCTGTTCGACGGAGCTGTTCGGTAAGCTCGCCAGCATCTAGACCGCTTCTTTAGCAGGCCCTTCCCCGCGGAATCTATCCACGGAGGCTGCGCTCTCGATTCCCTTCTTTTTTACCAGTGGGACGTGAGGTGCAGAAATGTCGACGAGGTGAGCCTTAAGCTTTTCCCAGGCTATGTGAACAGTGTCGGTCTCAGATATCACACAAGGCGATGACCTAGCTCTATCCCGCATCGCTTGGAAGTCCGCGGCCCAAATGTTCGGATACCAACTGGTAGTAGCTTGGCAAGGCCTGATAAGGGTACACTGGAAAGACAAGCAAACGTGATCGCTAGCGCCAAGAGGTGAGTCACAATTAATGTCATTTACAAAGTCAAGTGACTTAGCAAAAACAAGATCTAAAATGGACGGCTGCTGATTGCTCATGTACCTAGTGGGAAGGTCCACGAACTGGTGTAGTGGTACCTGCAGCGTTAAGTCCAGCAGTTCTGTACCGAACGATCCCAGCGCAGAACTGCAAGATAGATCATCCCAACAGACCTCTGGGAGGTTGAAGTCTTCCAGCACCAGACACTTGTTCGCAGAGTGAGTGCGTATAAACTCTATGATTCCATTTGAAGTGCTCATAGGGCTTCTATACACTAACACGACCGTAACCTGAACCGAGGAAGCGCAAATCAACACTGCGAATGCCTCAACAGATTTGTCGAGAGACTGAAAAACGCTGGTCCTCAGTACGTCGATGTGATAACTCACATAAAGAGCTACATCACCTCCTTGACGGCCAAGGGAGCGGTCAGCGCGCAGCAATGCGTAGCCAGGCAGATATACTTCGCCATCTGTGATTTCCTCAGACAGCCACGTTTCAGTGAAAGCAAGTATATCTGGACGAGATTTGTCTACGAGTAGACCCACCTCGCACATCTTGTTCCTCAGACTACGCACGTTACTAAGTACTACTTGGAGGGCTTCGGCACGACCAGCCCTGGGTCGTGCGCCAGTAGTATAGGTTCTGGCAGGACGGAAAAGGACCGCCAGCAGACCACCTGAAAACCCACCAATAGAAGACCTTGCTCGCCAGCTGCACGCCGGGCTTTTAGGTCGCTGATGGCTTCCTTTAACTTTAACCTATCCGCTAACGGAAGGTCTGGTTGCACACTAACCGCGGTACCTTTGAGCTTGAAGGCAAATCTCAGCAAGGCCCTGCGTTCTTCTGGGGTGGAGAGGATCACCCTAAGCAGACGGGGTCGAGGATTTGGTTGACCAATCGGAACGTTCCCCAATCTGATGAGCATCCTGACAGTAACGTCAGGAAAACCTGGTGGTAAAAGCCTGGTCACGCAAACTTTAAGCCAACCAAGATCATCAAGCATGCGCTCGGTGGGAAGAGCGGCAGTGGATTCAGCGACGTTTCTGAAAATCACACTGCTATCTGTGTAAGAATCACCTAGACGAGGTGTATTTACACCACATGCTCTACCATTCACGCCACACGGTTGTTTGACAGGAATCGGTGGGACCGAAGGCGACGGCACCTCATGTCTTACTGAGGGAAATGCAACACCAGGTGGTGTTTCCAACACAGGCGCCTGTTTCTTGAGCACTTTATCACCTTCCGGTTTAGGGGCAGGGGGTTGGCGAGTTTTCCTTGCCCGACGATAGAGGATTCCGCCCAACGAGCGTCCAGTTCTTTACTTGACTGCGAATAACCGAGCAAATAATC